ATCCTCCTCTGTAAAAGCAGGCTAATTGTTGTATTCACTGCATGTGATTGCTGTTAGCGTGAAATCAGATAATGCACACAGAACGCTCTGGGCAGGGCCGGCCCACAGCAAATGCTCTGTGAGTTGTGCTCGTTATTTCTTGATCTCTGGGGGGTGATTAATCCCTGCTACACAGATGAGAAAGGAGAAAAGAGAGGTATCCCCGAGCAACTAGATGATCTGGAGGCTTGAAAGAGCCAGAAATTCTGAAACCTGGCTCTTTACTTTTATTGGAGTTTGCTGGTCCAGAGAGCTTCAGGGCGGAGGAAGCAGCACAGAAAGGCCAGAGGAGCCTCATCTGAGGCCGGCTCTGCTACCTATGCTGGACAGTCTTGGCAAGTCACTCAACCTCTCTGATCTCCTGCTTCCCACCAGTTAAATAGGGATGAGTAAAAATCCCCGTGAGGGAGATCGTCGTGAGTCCCAAATGCATACAGATGCCCTTGAGAAAAGGAGGATGCTAGACACAGGCAAACTCTAAAGAGCTGTGTGAAAGTAGCTACTGTAACCGTCATCATCTCCTCGGACTTCCCAAAGTACGCTCACACATATGGTCACCACCACAATCGTCACACCGTGAGAGCAGTCACCACTAACTAACATCACAGACTGCGCTAAACCCTTAATACGTGTCTTTACATTTAATCCTCACAATAATCTAAAGGAGGTATGCTGATGGTGATGATGATGCCCATTTTATGGATGAGGAGACTGAAGCTCAGAGTAATGAGGCCGTCTGGTCTTTTCTGCTAATAACTGGAACCTAGGTCTGTCTGAAGCAAGACCATGTGAGTAAGACACTCCTCCTATTTTTTTTAAGCATTTTATCCTACAACCTCTCCCATTCCAGGAAATATGATGGAGCTATGGATAGAGCCTAAGTTTGTGCTGTTTCTCTGTGCCCAGACAGTGGCCGTGTTTCCTCTGTGTGCGGGGGAAGCTGTGCCCTTGCCTGTCCCTCCTCTCTGGAAACCCAGGCCACTCCTTTCCAGTGAGGTGCCGTGTGCAGAAAGAGCACGTGAGGGGCTGGCCGGGTGGCGCAGTGGTTAAGTTCACATGTTCTGCTTCTCAGGTGTGCCGGGGTTTGCCGGTTCGGATCCCGGGTGCAGACATGGCACTGCTTGGCAAACGCCATGCTGTGGTAGGCGTCCCATGTATAAAGTAGAGGAAGATGGGCGTGGATGTTAGCTCAGGGCCAGTCTTCCTCAGCAAAAAGAGGAGGATTGGCAGTAGTTAGCTCAGGGCTGATTTTCCTCAAAAAAGAAAGAAAGAAAGAGCGCGTGAGGCTTGTGTGCCCTCAGAGGGACCACGTTTGCCCACCTGTTGTGTGTGTGGAGGGCACTGGGGTGTACAGTTCGTGCTGCGGGATAAAATAGGCACCCCCTCCCTCCACTGCACCCAGAGTGAGAGGCTCAGCTGCATGCCCACCGCCCATCCACAACAGGGAGGGGGAATCTGCTGTTTCTTACCTTTGGGATGGAGTAGAAGCAGGAAACCCAATCCTCTCCCCACCTTTTGGGGGTGCAAAAGCGAGCTGCCTGGCTTCTGCGGGAAGTGAGGTTTTCCTTCCCTGGAAATTTTCGCCGGCCAGCAGTCGCTGATGCTTCATGCGTGGAAATTCTTAGATACTCCGCAAATGGAGAGCCATAGGAAGCATTAGAAAGAGTCTGAAACGAACCCACAGGTCCTGACCTGATTCCCGCGAGGCCACAGGAACGCCCCTTCCTAAGTCAGGGTTTCTGTCACCGCCAGAGAGCCCAAAAGCCGTGAGCCACGGACAGTGATGAATAATAATGATAGCTGACGTTGTGCACTGGCTCATCCGTTCCCCACAACACCCCATGAGGCGGGCACTGACTTCTCTCCATTTTACAGAGGGAGATACTGAGATTGGAAAGGTGAGGGACCTTTCCACAGGCCACAGAGGGAGAAGGCAGCACGACTGGCAAAACCAAAAAACACAATAAGCCTCATTGCCGCACTCTTTGTGTGAGCAAAAGACTGGAAAGAACCCCTCCATAGGGGACTGATGAAATGCACTCTGGCAGGTCCACATCAAGGAAAACTGTTTCCCTATTCATACTTCTGACACCAAATATGTCAGGTATCACAGGTATCACACCAAGCAATTCTCTAATTCTCTGCGGACACCAAGCGAGTGTCCTACAATTTAATTTAATTCTGACACGAACTATTCTGAATTAGCGCAGACCTCACAGGTTAAGGGCTCAGTCCCACAAGGCTGCCCCCACTCCAGATGCAAGTCACAAGTAGTGGGGCCCCAGGTTACTGCTACTTCTGTCCGATTTGATTACAATTCTGGGGATTCCCGTGACCCCCCTCTTCAGGTTCAATGGTTTGTCAAATGGCTCACAGAACTCAGGGAAACACTTTACTTACCTTTACTGGTTTGTTAAAAGGATATAAATGGACAGCCTGATGAAGAGGAACATGGGTCAAGGTCGGGAAGGGTCCTGAGTACAGGAGCTTCTGTCCCTGTGCAGTCGGGGTGTGCAATGCTTCCAGCACGTGGGTGTGCTCACTGACACAGAAGCTCTCTGAATCCTGTAGTTCAGGGATTTCTATGGAGGCTTGATCGATGATTAACTCAATCTCCAGCCCCTCTTCCCTCCCTGTGGTTGGGGGTGGAGTGGGGCTGAAATATCCAAGCTTCTAATCATGGCTTGGTCTTTCTGGTGACTGGCCTCCATCCTAAAACCATCCAGGAGCCCCCAAGAGTCACCTCATTAGAACAAAAGATGCTCCTACCACCCAGGAGGTTCCAAGGGATTTAGGAGGTCTGTGCTAGGAACTGAGGACAAAGACCAAATATCTATTTCTCATTCTATCACAATATCACGACAAGGGAGTACTATGCAGCTATGAAAAGGAATGAAGACTGTTTGTATACCAAGATGGAGCCATCTCCAGGTTATTTTATGAAGTGAAAGAAGCAAGGTGCAGAACAGCAGGTGTGATATGCTGCTTTTTATCTAAGAAAGGGGAGAGAAATACATTCAAATATGCACTTGTATTAAAAAAAAAGAAAAACCCACAATGGAAGGGTAAGCCAGAAACAGACAAAATGGCAGTCTATATGGGGAGGAGGGCACAGGGAGGAGAGAGGAATGGAACTCGGCTTCTCTGAACACCTTGCTTTCTAGATATGACTTTGGAACCATGCAAATATTTAATATAACCACAAATTTAGTTAAGTAGAAATTTTACAAAAGAGAAGTAAGTGGATAGATGCGGATTTGAAGCCAGGTCTGTCTGACCAGAGTCACGCATCCTTTTGCCTCTCATTAATTATCCCTTCTAACAGCAATAGAGTGACCTGGCTAGGCCACCAGAAGGCAGGAATGGGGCCAGACCTTGCACATGCTGGAGCTCCCGGGGAACCCTGGTGGTGGTGCTGGGGGCTATGGTGTGAGCCCTTTCGGAAGTTTGTAATCAGCGGCTCTCGTTGAGATTCTCACAACGTTCTCCAGCAGCAGCCCTGAAGTGCGTTTGCTCCCAAGAACATCATGAGGACAGCGGCTGCAATGACTGCGTACCTGCCTCCAGCTCGGTTCCACAAACACTCGCCCAGTGCACGCTGTGCTAACAGGAATAACACGCCCACCTGAGAATGGCTTGGCTTCCTGGCAAACAGCTGTCCTGCACGCGACCTTGTTTCATCTTCACAGCAACTCTGGACCGGGGAATGAAGGTGCCAGTGAGGATCCGAGGCTGGACGAGGACTGCCTTCCGTGGCCTCGTACAGCCGCAGGGTGGCAAAGCCTCACCTCTGACCGTGGTAGAGCACGCTGGCTCCAAGCTGTGGGACCCTGCGCAGGGCTTTTTTTGGCAACTGGGGCATAACATCATGGAGGGGTTAAGGCACTGTTTGGGGCTCAGACAGACATGAAATTGAATCCCAGGTGTCCTTCTGTCTAGCAATGTGCTCTTGAGCAAATTTTGTGTATTTCTCATCTGGAACAATAAACGTACCTTCTGGATAGGGTTGCTGGAGGCACCAATGGGATGTCATTTACAGGTGAAGAGTTTCGTACAAGAGACTGTTATTAGCAAGAGTCATTTTGAAAGATGGAACACCCTGGAAATTTTGTATCCTCTCTATCTACTGTGCAGATGGTCTGACTATACATTCGAAGACCCAAGTCTTCCTTGCCCGGCTGACAAAGCCACCTCCTTATCCTGACGTCTACATCCCCCATTAAGGACACGCCTGGGGATGCTGCATTGCCCTGCCCCACGGCTCCCCTGCGCTGCTCTGTCAGCAGCTGGCTCAGCTCAGGCAAGGTCCCTCTCTGCTAACTGTAAGTCTGGATCGATCCCCATCTCAGGGTCATTTTGAGGATTAACTAATCCATCATGGGGAGACCTTTAAAAAGTGCCAATATGGCCAAGGCGATTGTCAGGCTGACTGGAAACCGAGTTCACTGGTCTCCCTGCCTCCAAGATATGCAAGTTGAGCCTTGCATCTGGACCAACTCTCTTGTGGGCAAAACCTCAGCGTGTGCGGGTTGTACTGAGCTCACCGGCCGTCTGTCTGCCCACCTGCCGCCTCGGACCTTTTTGATCTCTCTCTTTGTTTCTTTAAGAGACCGCGAGGGTGAGAAGATAAAGGGACCAGGATTCCAGACACCAAAGAGCTTTTGTTTGTGTTTCTAATAGAACTGAATACATTACATTTTCCCTCTTGGCATCAGCTTATTGACTCAAAACATCGTTCTGAGATTATACCTTTCTGATTTTATGTTTTGTAAATCTCGAAGGTTTCTGGATACCTACAGGGTACGTTTTTCCACCCTCTGAGGTGTGATCTCCATAATAAAAAAACGAACACAGCGATTCATTTAGTTCATCACTGAGTATTTATTGAGTACCTTCCGTGTGTTCAGCAGTTTACTAGGAGCTCAGAAGGCTCCTGAAGGAAAAAGAGAAACTCACACACGTTTAGACCTACTGTGCACTGGGCTCTGCGAGGCACTTTAATTGCATTATTTCATTAAAGTCATTCTCACAGCTCTCACAAATTGTTATCTCACTTCACAGGTGAGGAAAGAGACTCAGAAAGTTCTGCAACTTGTCCAAAGTCATTCGTAGGAGCAGGAGCTGGAATTCCCATCCAGTGCTGTCTGACTGTACCATTTGGGTTCTTCCCACTAGAATAGTGTGGAGGAGAAAAGCACACACGTGGATAGTCAGTCAACAGCACAAACAGCACAAGTGTTGTGCACAAGTAGCTCAACAGCACAGAGTAGCAGACTATCAAGCCTGGACTGTCCAGTTAAGAGCAGGTGGGGCTTCGGGAGGGAGTGACTGACAATCCAGGAGGACTTCCTGGAGGAGGCAGCCCAGAGGCACGCTGTAAGGACCTGAGGCTCAGGGCAGAGAGGGGGAGGGTGTGCCATGTGATGCCGGCCCTGAGTGAACTTGAGTGCAGATAGTGTCAGAACAGCGGGCCCTGAGGTCTGCTGCCTGGGGCCTGAGGGGTGGGAAGCCAGCAGGGCTGTCTGGGCCAGCCCTGATGAGGTGGCAGCAGGGAGTCACCCAGAGCCAGGGAGGGGTGGAAGCAACAGCAACACCCAGAGAGGATGACGCTGCAGTGCTGGCTGGAAGGAGAGGAGGGGCGTGGCCTGGAGAAGGCAGGTGCCTCAGAAGGGGTCCACCCAAGGGGAGTCTAGTCCTCTTGGACCCGGGGCAGGGTGGGGGGAGGTGGCAGGGGATGCAGAGACGGAATCTTCAGGCTTTGGTGGAAGATGCCTTGAGGGACAAAGGCCAGGGAAGAGCATATTCCATTACAGATTGCTTGGAAACTCCCCTCCGGTCACGTCCCACCTCTGTTCACTCCTGTCAGGTCTTCCTGTGACGTGTAGGATTAAGCGCAAATCCTTCATTGATCCTGTCGTTGAAGGCACCTCACAATCTGGCCTCAATCCACCTTTTTGGGCTCTTCGCCCACTACTCTCCTAAATAAGTCCTCTGCTCTCCACACATAGAGTGACTCATTCTCCTCCCAGCCTCCAAGCCCACCTGCCCTGCGCCATCTACCCCACCCCCAGCTGGCCTCCACAAAGCCCACCAGCCTGCCAGACCCTCTCCGCAAACGGCATGACAATCACTGTGCAGTAAGTCACCTTTGATAGCTCTTGCAGCACAGTCTTGAACAATTAACATTTTATTGTCATTTGACTTTTGCTGTTGGTGTCTCCCTAATGCCACTGCCCTGTCCTTGAGGGCTGATGCCTCTTCGCACCATAGGTGTCTCCACTGGGGATGTTATTTTACCTTTCTGTCTGTTTCCCCATCTGCAAAATGGATCCAAGAATGTACCTCCTACGGTACAGTGCCTGGCACACAGGGGCCCACGCCTGACTGTTCCAGTCCTTTCCTCCAGTGTGGGCAGTCCCAGGACAGGAGGAAAGGGGGAAGACCCAAGACCCCTGTAGGGATCCACTGAGGGACCCTTCTTTATCCCTTTGGATCTCTGCATTTCTAAGGGACTGTTAGCATGATACGAGGATCTTCTAGAAAGGGCGTGTGCACAAGCTGCCTTTAAAAAGCAACAAACGCATTTCTTCACCAAATGGAGGAATCTTGAGTTACAAATTCAAGACGGACTCCCTGGCACTGGCAATCCCCCTCTCAGGTCTGGAACCACCGCAGCACGTGCTGCGCAGCCCGTGACTGTTTACAAAGCGAGTTTCGCTGACCTCGTCTCCTTGAACACCTTTCACGAGCCCGTGAGCTCTCTCGTCACCTCCACTTAACAGAAGAGGACACCGAGGTTCAGGGAGGCGACGTGACTCGCCCGAAGTGGCACAGGGCGCTGGCGCTCAGGGGCCTGCGGCTGCACCCTCCGGCGGGGTCTGCACTCCTTGGGGGTGGCGGTGGGAAGGGCAGGAAGGGAGGCGCGGGCCCCAGGGTACCGCTCGCTCGGCTGGGGAGCCTGGGAGCGCGCGCGGGGATGAGGAACTGATGCTCTCGGCCGCGGCCGGGCCGGGGTGCAGCCCCCGGGGCCCCTCCCAGCCTCTCGGGAGCCACCCCCCGGGCGCGTCCCCGCGGGCGCGCGCTGCGGGCTCCGCCGGCGGGTTCGGAGGCGCGCGCCCCGCCCCCGCCCTCTCGCGCCCCGCGCGCTCCCCGGGCCCGCCGCGCGCGCGCCTCGCCGCCGCTCCCCTCCCCTCCCCTCCCCGCCCCTCCCGCCGCCACCCCGCCCCCGGCCGGGTACCCTCGCCGGACCCGAGAGAGAGCGCCGCCGCCATCTTAGTTGCTGCCGCTGCCTCCAGCGAAGCGCTGCCTCCGCGGAGGGGAGGGCGCCCGCGGCCCGAGCGCGCGGCCCAGCGTCACGGCGGCGGCCCCTCCTCGGACCCCACTGCTCGCCGCGGTGCCAAGCAGCCGGCTCCGGGCCGCGAGAGCCCCGCTCGGCGCCCCGCGCGCGTCCCTGCCGCTCCCGCCTCGGGCCGGCCGCGGCGCCCGGAGCCCGAGCGATGCTGCGCCGCCCTGCGCCCGCGCTGGCCCCGGCCGCCTGGCTGCTGCTGGCCGGGCTGCTGTGCGGCGGCGGGGTCTGGGCCGCGCGAGGTAAGCGGCGGGGCCGGGCCGGGGCGCGGGGAGGCGGGTCGGGGCGCGGGGGCCGGGAGGCGGGTCGGGGCGCGGGGTTCGCGGCCGGACGCAGGAGGCCGTGGGCGCGCGCGGCAGGCGCCCGGGGAAGCCAGGCTCCATCCCGGGCGGGGCACCTGGACCCTGGCCGCCCCCTGGCAGCCCTGGGGGTGGCTGCGCGGATGTCGGGGGACATGCATATGGGCTGAAGGGTCGGTCCACCTTCCCCTGCAGCGCCCGCAGCCTGGGGGTGCCTCCCCGGGGTGAGGTGCCGTGTACGTGTGTTGTGTGCTCAGAGGTGCATCAGGCTGGGGGTGCATGCACACTTTTTGGTGTGAGCTTACATAAGAGCCCACTCCTCCGCATCCTTTTCCGAGATCCCGGTTCCCTGCTGCTGCGCCGCGGACACCGCATCTTTGCCCCTTTCCGCCTCCTCCCAGGGTCCTTTAAACGTCTGTTTTCAGACGAGCCAAGGCTGAAACTTCTTGCTCCCCTCCCACCTTGTCACCCAAAGGTGAAATCGTGATGAGGTTTACGAGCGAGGTCTCCCCCTGTGTTAGAAATCTTCGTCTCCTCCGCCCCCGACGTCTTGGTGCGGTTTTTCTGACAGTAATTAAGATCGTGCAAGGGTTTAGATGGCTCCAACAGAAACCAAAAGCCCCTCTTTGATTCCTTACGGCCGAAATTATCTTATGGTTACTTGGCAAAAAATATTTTTGAGCGAATTGATTATTTTGTTGTTTTAACCTTCATTCACTTAACCTTTTAAACGTTACATGCTTTCTGATATTGACTGATCGTGCCGATGAAAAGCTTACGCATTGCAGATAGATGCTTCCGAATGGATCTTGGAATCGTAAACATTTTCCTTGGCCTTGGAGCAAAGTAATCTAGGTGTAGTCTATAGATTACGTGGATCTATTCTTCTGGGTTTTTTTTTTTGAAAAAATTTTTTGAGGGGAGGATTGTTGGAAGTCTAGACGAAACCGTCGTATTTCAATTTAGCAAGCTTTTAAAAAATTCTCCTTTTCTCTTCCTTGGCGTGACACATCGAGAGAAGTATGGTGTTCACAAATTACTGGGCAGAAGAGGCAAAGGCATCTTTTGTTCCATGTTCCTTTCTTCACATTGAGGATGATAAACTTTGAATGCTTCTTTCATTTCATTTCTAACATTCTTTTGCTCTGTCACATTCAGGTCTTGGTCACTAAATATCTTACTGCTCTCAATTAGATTTTTTAAAAGTTACGTCAAGCTGAGTTTGAATTGTTCTTTCCAGATGTGGGATGGAGGTCTGAAAGTCTGTTATATCCAAAAAAAGGTCAAAGCTTTGCTTCTCTTGGAGAAAAACCCACACAGTAAAAAAATATAGGTTTGGATTCGGTATTTTGGGAACTGTTCAAGTATATTTAGTTTCGTCAGTGATAACATTTCTTGTTAAAAATCCCTGCTTTCTTAAATTTGTCCATTCACTTATATTTGCTATTCATGAATGAATTACTTGGGATACTTAGTATAAATTTCGACTATGAAATACCTTCATTATGGCGGACTGACAAACCTTACGTGAAAGACGTGTTGAGTGCTTGAGTCCCTTGTAATTTGCTGACTTTCTCTAAGCTTTTCTTGGTGCATTTATAGTACTTACGAATTGTTAGTCTTCAAAATAAAAGCACATTTAAATATCAGTTATTCTGTTGCATTTGTTTTTTTTCCAGGTTGCAAGTTAGAAAATGTCTTGTGAATATTACATGAAATGCTAATAAAACATTTCATTTTGAAATGTTAGGAATGAATTTTATGTGTAAATATGAAATTTGTGGAGCTATTCTGTGGGCTCATTTTAAAAGATCATTTCAACTAACGTCTGAATTTTTTATTGCTTCAAGACAGTATGACATGAACTCCTGTTCATACCCTAGCTTCCTCTAATGATTATCAATGGGATAAAGATCACATGTAAATTGCTGGAAAGAATGTTAGGTTTTGTAGTAAAAATTGCATTTTGACTATTAATTGTTTTATCTCCAAAACCCTTCAATTTCACTTTAATTGTAGCCATAGTTCTCAAAAAACATCAAGTAAACCAAATATTAGAAATATCCTTGGCATGCCCTAGATGGCCGTGTCTGCAGGCTGCCTTCCTTCTCTTCAGTCAGTCAATGATCAGGAAGTAGAAAATTGAAGTAGAGAGAATAGAAAGCTTATATGAATGTTAAATAAAAATAAATGCAATCAGGTAATGCGTTTCAAAATTGAATAAATAATATTCGCTGTTACTTCCCCTTTGCACACAGACTTCTCAGTGAGGTCTGCTCCTCACCACCCTCTTTGAAATTTCCTCTCTGAACCCCTGAACCCTCCCTTCCCTGCTTCACTTAGTTTCTTTCCATAGCACGTATCTCATTTGTTATTTACTTATTTTGTTTGTTGTCTGGCTCCTCTCACTGGAACATATGCCTGAAGATGGAAGGGCATTTTGGTGTTTTCTGTTTCTACATATGTATCCTGTTTTCACCTGACAGATAGATGTTATATCCTGCAAGAAACGTTACAGACTTAGAGTATAAACTAAACTTAAATCCTGCAATATAGGTGTAAGAATTCATTAGCAGATAATTTTTCAAGGATCCGTTCTGTTGATTACAGTATTGGGGATATTAGATCATAGAAATTAGGAGGCTGTAGCTTTGTGGCTACCACTTGGAGTCCTTTTTTTTTTTTTTTAAAGATTTTATTTTTTTCCTTTTTCTCCCCAAAGCCGCCGGTACATAGTTGTGTGTTCTTAGTTGTGGGTCCTTCCAGTTGTGGCATGTGGGACGCTGCCTCAGCATGGCCTGATGAGCAGTACCATGTCTGCACCCAGGATCCGAACCAGGAAACCCTGGGCCTCGGAAGCGGAGCTCGGGAACTTAACCACTCTTGCCCGGGCCGCCCCGAGGCCATTTGTAAACAGTCATTCTCAACTTTTTTTGAAAATGGTTTCTTAATTTGTTACCTTGTTTTTCAGAAGCAACTTTGAGGAAAAAGTCATTTGAATACAGGCTTCAGTACTACAGCTAACATTTTTATTGCTAATATTATTAGGTTAAATGTCAATAATTCTGAACGCCGGGCGGGCCTGTGGCCAAGTGGTTAAGTTCGCATGTTCTGCTTTGGCGGCCCGGGGTTTGCTGGTTCGGATCCTGGGCGAGGACATGGCACCGCTCGTCCGTGGTGAGGCGGCATCCCACATGCCACAACTAGAAGGACCCACACTAAAAAATATGCAGCTCTGTACTGGGAGGATTTGGGGAGAAGGGAAAAAAAAAATTCTGAATGTATTCCAATTTAAGAGCTGTAACTCGATTAACTGGAGCCTTCAGTTAACTGGAACCCATCTGTTGGCTACTTGCTACTTTTAGGAAAAGAAGCTTAAAACCAAGCAGTTTCGTAGAAATTCTTTTTCAGGAAGTTTCAGGAGTTCATATCATACATGATCTGTGTCAGTACTATTTGATTTTTGAACCAAAAAAGAATAATTAGGGGCCGGCCCCGTGGCGGAGTGGTTAAGTTCGTGCGCTCCGCTGTAGGCGGCCCAGTGTTTCGTTGGTTCGAATCCTGGGCGCGGACATGGCACTGCTCATCAAACCATGCTGAGGCAGCGTCCCACGTGCCACAACTAGAAGGACCCACAACTAAGAATATACAACCATGTACCGGGGGGCTTTGGGAAGAAAAAGGAAAAAAAAAATTAATACTTCATGTTTTAGAGATGAAGAATATGACTGATAAATGAAACTTATATGATATATTTTTGCATTGAGATTAGAAAATGCCGTAATTCCATGAGACTAATTTCAGGACTTGGGGAAGCTTATTCAACCAACTTTTAATGTTTAAAATGAGGAACGTGCGGGATGTTAAAATTTTTAAGACATGAAAAAAAAAGGATTGAATTATTTTTATTATTGCTTCCTAAGACAGGAAAATATAAGGTTTTGGATAGGGTTTTCATTTATAAGAATTGAAACAAAATAGGAGATCTCATTGTTCTGAAAAATCACCAAGAGTCTATTTCTCACATATTCTGGTTAATTGAGGTTTTAGATCATTATACTTTTAAAAATATACCTTGCTTTTTCTGTAGTATTGATTTGGTAGGAGCAGAGGTACTTCAAGAAATGTGTCTTTGTAAATGAAATTTAAGTGATTGATTTGCTATAAAAATGCAGATTTTTTTTTTTTTTTGAGGAAGATTAGCCCTGAGCTAACGTCTGCTGCCAGTCCTCTTTTTGCTGAGGAAGACTGGCTCTAAGCTAACATCTGTGCCCATCTTCCTCTACTTTATATGTGGGATGCCTACCACAGCATGGCTGCCAAGTGGTGCCATGTCCACACCTGGGATCTGAACCAGCGAACCCCAGGCTGCTGAAGTGGAACGTGTACATTTAACCACTGCGCCACCGGGCCAGCCCCCAAAATCCACA